TGTACATCTAGTATACTACTTCTAAATACCACATAGTATTCCATGGTGGGTATGCACCACTTTCTGCCTATCTCATTACCCATATTACCTCTAAGTTTTTCAGGGCCACTACATATGATTATGCAAGTGTTGGATGATCTTGCCTCCAACTTCTCCAATTCTCATATCTCAATAATGTTTACAATCAATTGGAATACACCAGTGTAATAATACTGGTTGCTAAAATTCTAAAATAATCACACACTGGTTAGAATATAGCCACTGTCACAAGACCCTTGAGGTCCCACCTGCCCCCAGGTACTTTCCTCAGAACTCTTTATGAATCAGCTACTAAAAGTTAATGTCTGTAACAGCAGGGGTCTTCAGGACCCTGCACCAACTCTGCAGCCAGCATCTGTTCTGATAAGTCAAAGTGCCCATACTTACAGTAGGTTCATATTTTGAATATCACACCTGCTCTATACTAAAAGCAACACTGCAGTGAACACCCTCATACATGTCTCTCTGAAGATCTGCAATGACAATGATCACATCTTTCAAAGCAGTATGAGGCACTGACCCTTTGAATTAGTGATGATTATTTTATTAATCACTCTTTGATGGCATAGAAAAAAATAATAATAATAAAGCAAATGACTGATCTAAATCAGTGAGTAAATTCCAGCCCTAGAAATAAAAAGACAATTTTTCTCTCCACTGTCCTGAACCCCAGTCTGAGGGTACAAAGAGTAGTCATTAATTCATCATGTTGCTATGCTAACAGTTACATGTCAAAGATTCATGACAAAATACTCAAATGTCCACTCAAATAGAATTAGGCCAGAGAACTTGGGTGAAACATAAGGGCACCAGCCGTATAGTGTGATTACACTACCAAAAATTGTCCAGTGAGAACTGCTAGGGAAAAACTAAGAGTCAATAGACAGAGATTTGAAACACAAGCATCAATTGTAAAGGCATAAGACTAGGGAACTCAAAAAGATAGAGGCCAAGAGTTCCATCTGGATAAAAGCAAAAAGTAACTCAAACAAAGAAGAAACAAGAAAAAAGGACAAGGAGCAATCAAGTACACAGCTTGCCTTTACTGTCCAACCAAGGTGAGATAGAGTTGAAGAAAACCTTTGCTTGTACCCCAAGAATTCTCTAAGTTACTTATGCATAAATCATAACAAACTATCATCAGCTCCATAGATAACTTGAGAGAAAGGATTGACTACTTAAGTAGGAAGAATGCACATGCCATATGTAACATCGAAGAAGTCATTTCTCTTTTTAAGATGAGATAATAAACCAGTTGAGCAAGTTAAGCATCACTAGTGATGTCATGTGGATATTATGCACCCCCTGATATCACATGATAAGACCTCTACACCTCTTGGGGATTCTTTACAAAAACCCAGAATCCAAGTCTAACTGTAAGAGAAAACTTCAGACAAACTCAAATTGAGGGACATCCTACAAAATACCTGACCAAAACTCCTCAAAACTGTCACAGTCATGAAAAACAAGGTAATCCTGAGAACCTGTCAGAAACCAGAAGAGACTAAGGAGACATAACAAAATGTGATGTAGATCCAGGATTGAATTCTGGAATAGAAGAAGGACACTAATGGAAAAACTGGTGAAATCTGAATAAAGTCTAGAGTTTAGTTAATAGCAATGTACCAGTGTTGATAGCTCAGTCTTGGAAAATGTACCATGGAAATGTAAAATTACATTAGGGGAACTGAAACTCAATGTGGGAACTCTCTGGACTCTCTGCAACTTTTCTGCAAAACTAAAACTATTCCAAAAGAAACTCTTTATTTGAAAAAAAGAAAATATAAGATCAGAAAAAGAAAGGTAAATAAGGCTGAATAGATTTTTCAGGTGAAAATCATGCTTGAATATTTGTTGAAACTTTGCTATTTGACAAAGACACTCAGACACAAGGTGAATAATATATGTTGCATGTCAGTGAAAATTTGAGTCCAGAGGGGATATCAGACTTATCAACTGAGGAAACGTGATCTAAAATGATAGAAGACTGCAAAGGACCAGGAATCTGTCAACCTAGATTCTAGATCTGGGCCTTCCATATATTACCTTTATGAGTTTGGGCTAATCAGTTAATTTTCCAGTAGCTAACTTTCTAAAATGAGAAAACTCTTAGATAATTTACAATTTAGTTTAAAATTCAAAAACTCTATGATCCTGAGCCGAGCCCGTGGCGCACTCGGGAGAGCGTGGCTCTGGAGGCACAGCAGCGCTCCTGCCACGGGTTCGGATCCTATATAGGGATGACCGGTGCGCTCACATTGCTCACTGGCTGAGCGTGGTGCGGCCGGTCTCAAAAAGGACAAAAAAAAAAAAAAAAAAACTCTATGATCCTACTGGAAGTTTAATACTTTTCTAAGTAACTGCATGTGCTATATAAGATTTTTTTTATCTCTAATGTACCTATCTACACTCTGTATGATGCAGGAGCTGGGGCTCTGCCCACTTTCTTTTTTGCCAGATCCTCCCTGTTTAGACTCTGCCACTGAGGGCACTAGAGGGAGATTGCACGGCTGGAGGTAGAAGAAGGGGCTTGGTCTTTCCTGTTTGCTTTCTGTGAGCTTTCTCTCTGCATGCTGTGCCTGTGAGCATCCCCGAGCCACACTCTTCACTTCAGGAGCCTTGGCACTCTTTCCAAAGCAGCAGCTGAATCCAGTTGCAGTTTTTCCAGTGCTAGAGGAAAAACTCCTCACACCCTCCTCCCGAACACCTGCCCCAGCCAGTGGCACCTCTTCCCCAGAGGTGTGTCCCTGCCCCATCTAAGATCAGAGACACCAGCCAGGCAGCATCCCTGCCTCAGATATTTGAGTTTCCCTTCACAGTTTCTTCCTTCAAGTGTTTACTAGTTTGGGGGGTTGTTTTTTTGTTTTTTAAGTTTTAGCAATTCAAAATTCTTTCTTTTATTTCCCCATCCATAGGGGTGAAAGCCACTTTCTACAAATGCTATATTTATGATCTTATTCTTTTTCAAATAACTAGTTAACAACTGTCAAAAGACAAACTACAACAAATTTAGTTTCAAGATCTAATTGGCTTTTATTTGTGATTCTAGAATCAAGCAACACCTCATTCTGTAAAGTAAAATTATTGTTCTGATGAGCAGAGCAGAGGAAGTTGGCTCTACAGGCAGAAAAGGGCTGGAAAAAAGGCAGAATTAGAGAACAAAAAAGCAGATTGATGTATCAAAGTTACTTCCCTTTAGGCTTAAAACAGAGGGGAGTTCCTTATTGCACTGACTCAAGTTGACTGGAATCTACTATGCTTTGTTTTTCTGCTTTGTATTATCTCCTTTTGCTTTGTTTGAAAACTTGCCCATTTCAAAGTCCAGTTTAATTATGGGCACTTAGGACAATTGGGTACATTCTGATTTGGTCTGGTCTGCTGAGGCCTAGTGCAAGAGGCTAGTCCAAAACTATGGCTTTCCATAAAATCTGTTTAACACAACTTTATTCTTAGTAAACAATTCCTGCAAATTTTCTCTTTTCAAAAAACTTGTGTGGTTTCTTTCTCCTTACTAGACTTTGAAACAGCCAGATTAGCAAATAATTAGTATATGATGAACTAAAAAGATAGTAGACAAATCAGCTGTATAGAAAGACAAATCAAGTGAAGTAAAAATTAATATTTATCTTTAAAGTAAGATAGTCCGTTCAAAATGGGAAAAATAAAAATGGACAGTAAGCCACATACTGACTTTTAGAATGGATTAACATTTATATTACAAAATAAATACAATTAATAAATTCTATTTGGCACTGTATAGAGGTAAGACAGGTGAGATAAAGTAGCTACAACCTTTAAGTCTTTAAGTCTTTTATATAAGCAGTCAAGAGATTGACATCACAACTCAATTTGGAGAGAAAAAAAAGACAGAGCATAAAGCCTATTAGCCGGTTAATGCATTCCGTTTCCAATTAACAAAGCTTATTTAGCACATATCCATCTGACATTCTAGTATACTTTGCTTTTCTATATATCCTCAGTGTATTTAAGATATTTTACTATAATTCAAAAACTGAGTGCATTGTCTTCTCATTGCCGCCTTCATCTCTTTATTCCTGAAAGTGTAGATGGCCGGATTTAGAAAAGGAGTGATAACTGCATCAAAGATGGCAAGGAATTTATCCAGATGTGATGTAGGAAATGGCCACGTATAGAAAAAGATTAATGGACCAAAGAACAAAACCACCACAGTGACATGAGCTGACAGAGTGGAGAGGGCCTTGGATACACCACCCGAAGATTTTTTCTGAACAGTGAGCAAAATAAAGATGTAAGAGATGATCAGAATTAAAAAAGAAGCCACAGAAATAAACCCACTATTTGCAGTAACCATGAATCCCAGTGTGTAGGTCTCTGTACAAGCAAGTTTGATAAATCGAGGTAGATCACAGAAAAAACTGTCTAATTCATTAGGGCCACAGAAAGGCAAGTCTACAACAAAAGCCAACTGAATCACTGAATGAATAAGGCCAATAACCCAGGAAGCAACTAAAAACGAAATGCACCTCTGTGGGCTCATGATGGTCAGATAATGCAGAGGCTTACATATGGCCACGTATCGGTCAAAGGCCATGGCTATGAGCAGCACCACCTCAGTGCCCCCAACTGCATGGATAAAGAAGATCTGAACTACACAGCCCCCAAAAGAGATGGTTTTGTGCTTTCTGAAAAGGTCATAAATCATTTTGGGGGCTGTAGAGGAACAAAATATCAAGTCAATGATGGAAAGGTTGGCCAGCAGGAAGTACATGGGGGACTGTAAACGAGGGTCAGAGGCCACAGTTAGCACAATGAGGAGGTTTCCCACCAGGCTTGCCACATAGAACACAGAGGAAAAGAGGCAGAGGAGGAGCTGGATTTCCCACGAATTGGAAAGTCCCAGGAACACAAACTCAGACACCCCAGATTGATTGGCTCCATCCATCACCTCTGTCAGCACTGACAACGCTCATGCTACCTGAAAGAGGAGAGAAAGGAAAAACTCCAGTTTAGGATAAATAGCACTGATCTTGGCAAAATCGCGGGTGATTCAAAAAATGGCTGAAAAGTAGATAGAGGCTAATTTATGCCCTTGGAGACAATTTCAATCACAAAGCAAGTCATAATCCTTTATTGTTTATTTTATTGCCAAAAATATACGTTGCACAGAATAAGAACTCTTTAGAAATGGCTCTGTCTAATTGTATGCAAAGATATTTAACCTCATTTATAATTAAATAAGAACATACTAAAATAGGAAGATACCAGTTTTTTCTTATAGGTTTGGTAGATATTTAAACATTTGACAGAATTCAGGATTTGGGGGGGAAATGGGGAAACAGGCAGTCTCGTAACTGGTTGTGGGAAAGCAAACTGATAAAATATTTGCCAGTTTGGAAATATCTTCTGAATTTTTTCACAGTCATATATTTTGTCTCAGCTCTTCTGTTTATAGGAGGGGAAAACATCCCTGAATATGAGCAAAGAAATAGTATTTCTTCGGTTTTTTGCTAAAGCATTGTTTTTAAAAGCAAAAGCCTGACAGTAACTTCAATGTATAGACTAGCAGAATAGTTAAATAACATACTAGATTCCTACTGTGGAATACAATGCAGCCGTTTATAATACTGAGATAGACCTAGCTACTTAGACAAGACCAATAGGGAAGAAGTTGGAAGTTTCCTGCACTACCTTATCCCATCTGGATTTAAAAGTAAAATTGATAAATAAAGCAAGATAATAAATTGGTAGAAAATATCTAGGCTGATGCACAAAAGTCTGTTAACAGCAATTGTCTCTAAGAACTGGGGCTGAGAAAGAAATGAAGGAGAAGAGAACTTTAACATTGTGCTCTCACTATCTTAAATTTTTGCAGTGAGCATATATCAATTTCACTTTTACAAGGTAAACATATGTGGATTTGAAACATTACACAAGTTGTGTCTTCAGAGCATTCAAAGATATGACCATAATCTATCTCCCAAATTAAGACAAGGATCAAAGCTACTTTCAAAACATTCACTAACGTTGTTATCTATACCTATACCTCACACTCTAAGCTGAACTACTTCCTCTTGGCAAGACATGCTCCCAAATGGCACTTACTCCTCCCTCGTACACACACTGACATCCTTCAGCTCATGCCTTCAGTCCACGTTGTTCACTCCACCTGCATTGCCCTTATCCTCGTAACATCGCTCTAATTCTTCCTTTCTCTTCAACACGCCACACTGCAAAATTCCTTCCTCCGTGAAGTCTTCTTTGATACCCTTACTTTTATATACACTAAATGGAGATACATTTTTCTTATATTGTGGTAACCAACCAAAAACACTAATAATAATCATGTTCTAATAATGGTCTCACAAGGAACACTACTGAATTCCCTGTCATTGTAAATGATGTTTTCTTCAATATCTCTTTAAAATGTCTTTTTTAGTCTTTCATGTGATAACAATATAAATGATATTTACATTCATAAAGAGCAACTCAGCTTGGAATCAGTTCAATTCAATCAGCAAATGATTGAATTCTAAATTGCTCCCTTAGAAGTTGAAAATTAATCTACTAATGTTTCCAACTCCCACTCAATCCTAAACCCTTCTTAATTTTTACACAAGACTTTCTTTTTTATCTTTAATTTTTTTTATTTTCTATATATCAGGTTAGTAAAAATTAAAAAGATAATTCTTAGTGTTGGTAAAAATTTAGAAAACAGGTTTGTACATTCATTGTTGGTGATACTGCTTTCTAGCCAATCTTTTGTGTTCTATCTATACTTAAAACTTGAGGTCTCTAGGCACCACACTTTGTATCAGCCCCCACTAAACACCACCTTTTTTAACAAGGGCAGAATAGTAGTTTAAATCTTATCTTTTCAGTGAAGACAGAGTGAAGCTGTTCACTTAACTCACAACTGCAAGAGGGAAATAGGTTACAAATGGTGATAAGCAACTAAATCCCTGTATGCCTTTATAGTGTCCTGAATCCCACAATTTGTTTAACACAAAGCACAAGCCTCTGCCCACACTCCCACCACTAAGCACAGAATGTAAGAAAAGAGAGATAGACACCTCAGAGATCATCTAGTAGCCAGTTGACTTTCTCCTCTGCTCAGGTCTGCTAATACTTGTGCTGGCCAATGTAAAGAAGAAACAGATTATGAATCATATGGGCTTACCACCAATACAAGCAAGGCTGATAATTATAGAGATTTTTTTAAAGTTGATCAATATTTGGAGTCACTCAGATAAAGATTTGTGATCCTTGCTTTCTAACCTTTGATCTTAAGTTACTAATAAGGTCAAGTTTAAATTAGAATTACTGGATAATACTAAAATTTGCAAGGAAACATTTCAATCTGATCATCATAGAAGTTTCTGCACTAGTTTGTTCTTCCTGAGCTGGGTAGAAGGAGCTCAGGACACTATTCAGAATACAGGAAGGATGTATGGGAATAACCACGGGAGCTAGACACTCCCAAAATGATTGTTCTTGTGCTATTAACACAACAAGCCTTGTAGAAGTTTGTTGTTGGTATGACCTGAAAAAAACTTTGCTAGTGAATGTAAAATCCTTTTACTTTACAGTTGAGGAGGGGAGGGAAAATGATTCTGCTGAAGCTACAGAACAAGTTTGTGGCAAACCCAAAATTAATATGTTTGATCCTTGGCTTCATCAGTACAGGCTATTTCAACTACACCATGTTTCTTTTGCTGTGATGGTCTAATATTTACCTTCTGCATATAGCCCAGGAAATCACAATATATCAAAGCTAGTTTCTTCAACATTATGGAAAATTTTTCACATTTTACTGTCACTGGACTCAAATCTTCCACTCCTCCTTTTATTCTTTTCCTGGAGACCTACACTCAGGACATCTGTGGAAATGTCATGAGCTGACTCTACTCATCATCCTGCTGTCTTCTGTATTTTGGTTGTTAGTTAATCTTTTGCAATTTCCCTGTTGAATAACAGAGTTGACTCATTTCTTCTGGTTGATTAAATTCTCCCTCTCACTGTTCTGCGTGTTTCCACTAGAAGTTCTAATCTCCATCAAAGACAGTTTCCATCCATCTAACCTACCTGAACAATGAAATTGTTAACCATGGAGTTATAGGACCATGAAGTGAAGAGCTCCTGCTTTTGAAGTGTTATCATCACCTGGTGTAAAAAGCCATATGTAATACCTCCATAAAGGGAAAGGTGGCTAATTAGCTGTATTTGAAAGTTACTTAAACATTGCTATAGAGACCTGGGATTGCCACCTTGAGTGTATTTGGCCAAGGGAATTGTTTCCTAGGACCACAGAAATTTGGCCACAGCGATCGAAGGGAAAAGCTGGTAATAGGTCACTTGAGGGGAAGGAAAAAGGGAGACTAGGGATTATTTGTGCATGAAAATTACAGATTTTTAAAAATATGTTCCTGCTTATTTTTCATATTTGTGAGGGAAGAACTCCATAGGAATGAAAATATATACTTTCCAAAGAGTGAAAATAAAGCTCATTTCCATAAGAAAGGAAGGAGAGAGAGAGAAAGAGAGAAAAAAAAGGCTTCCAATGTGGCATGTAGTATGCGATTCATGTCCTATTAGAAAGGGTGACTAAATTAGAGGTAGTAGGATGTACAGCTGTCCCATCAACATTTAGTTTGCTCTTTATTATGTGTGTGATATGGAGAGATGAATAGAGCGTCACAAGAGCAGCATGAGGGGATGAACTCAAAATGCTAGTGGAGCTGGGATAAGGCAAACCACTAATGGTTTAACCTCACCTAGGTTAAGATTTAAAAAAAAAAAATAAGAATGAAAACAACAGAAAACCTCTGGTTATATTTTATTTCTTTACATCAAAAATGTGCACAGTCAATGAAAGGCCAATGATAAATTACAACTGCACAGAGCACTCTGTATTCATTGCTGCATTAAAAAGTAGCTTAAATCAATAGCATTTACTTGCTCATGAGCCTACAATTTGGACTAAGTTCAGCTGGCTCGTTCTGCTGGTCTCACCTGGGCTTTCTCATGAGGCCTCACTCACATATCTGGAGCCTTAGTGCTGGCTATAGGCTGAGCTTCTCTCTCCAAGGGGTCTTTCATCATTAATTAATCTTGCCCAAGCTTTCGTACATGGTGGTGTAGAGTGCTACAAGAGGGAAAATGATGAAGCTGCAAGGCAACCTACACCTAAGTTCTAGAATTCATGCAACATCACTTTTGCTTCATATCATTGATCAATGCGAGGCACAACACCAGGCCAGATTTAAGGCTGGAGAAATAAACTCCACCTCTAGGCAGGAAGAAGTGAAAAACATAGCAGCCATATTTTTTCAACCAACTGGAAACTCCATAACTACCCATTCTGAGTTGTACTAATTGGCTAAGTCTCAGTTAGGAATAACTTTAATATAGGGACCTGATATATGTTCTAACTAGGACTATAAAGTGGTATTACTCCAACTTTTACAGACGCAAAGGAGCATTAAGCTCTCTTCCATTCCTGCTTTTGTCTTAGATACAACAGATTTGTAATGAGTAATTTTAACTTTTATTTTCTTAATGAGTTTGTATCCTGATACTACATACAAGACTCAGGCCACATAACCTTCTAGAGTCTTCTGCACCCAGGGCAGACTAGCCTCCTAATTGTCAAAGAATGCTCAGGAACACTGAGGTGAAGACACAGCTACATTACTTGATTTGAAAGGAGCCTAGAGGACCTGTAGAAAGAAACTTCTCACCATCAACAAATGAGATCAGGCATACCTAGAACTGTCTGATGAACTTCAAGTTTCCAAAGGAAGGCGCTGTGGTGCACCTGGGAGGAAATCATTATGAAGGCAGAAGCTATCTAGTTGAGTAGGCCAAATTAAGCAGTGAGGCCTGGTGACTGAGCAGGCAGCAGCAGAGCAGGGGTGTGCAGGACCACCCTCCAACACATCCTCTCTACCCCTCCCCAGA